GGTGGGAGGAGGGGGGTTGCAGGGTTGCTGGCTTTTGAGATCTCCCCCCTTTGCTTGCACACACCGACCAGCCTGAAGAGTGCTTCACAAAGAGATTTGGGTTCTGGCACTGCTTCGACGGGGTTTTTTGGGGCTCGTGGGAAGCCCCCAAAGCAGCCTGGTTGGGCTGGGTTGGTTACGCAGATTTCATGTTCTGATTTTTGCTGTTTTTACAGTATCCCAGCAGTGCGTGGAGCTGGAGAAATGCAAGTGAGAAAAGCAAATGCACTTTGTCTCCTCTTACATGTAGCATAAACTGCCCGGGAGCTCGGAGTTACCATCTCTGTGCTGGTAAAGACAAAAGGAGCTCAAAGAGGTGAGAGCAAGCCACAGGGATGAGGACGGAGCACCCCGAGGTGCTGAACATCGCAGGGCACTTCTCTGAACTCTCCTGGGATGATGAAGTCCCATGGCAAAGGGGGGTCCAACAGTGCCCTCCTTGCAGAGGAGCAAGGCGGTGGAGTGCCACAAACCCCTCTCCAGTGAGGAAGACCATGGGTGGAGAAGCACAGCCTGTTACGTGCGAGACAAATAAATTGCTCTGGTTAATTTAGTGCGGTTCTGTACGTCTCTCCCTGCCCCAGCAGGCTGCTGTCATCACCACCCCCTAATCTAATTTCCTGGAGACAGGCGAAGCCGACTGGAAGGGAATGGCACACACACGCCGGGGCGTGCTGGGATCGTGGTGTGAGTGGTTTGGGCAAAGTGCAGGTGGCGTGCTGTGAAACCGCACCCCGGTTGTGTCCTCTGGGCAGTGGGGGAGGCAGCAATGAACCTCTGCAGCAAGTTATCAGCAAGTCCATCCCCAGGAACAATTGGTACTGGCAGCCACCTTCTTCCTTCCTTCCAGGGCTGGCTGTTTCCAAGTGATCTAGAGCGCCTTTTATTTTTCTTTTCAAATGGGATGCTGTTTTAAAAAATGGGTATAAAGGAGTGTGAAGAACTAAAATAGCCCGAGGCCTCATTAGCAGCTGAAATCTGGTCCAATTCCGTTCAGGTAGCCAGGCAAAGCTCTGCATCTACACGAATCTACAGGGAACGTCTTCTCAGCCCTGGCTGGGCCAACTGGCTTTGAAAGAATCCAAATTTATAGGCTGCACATAAAGCACACAGAGGGGATTGATCAGGTGAAAAGAGGAAGCTACGGTGTGTGTCCTACATCTGAGCAGGGGTCTGGGATCAGAGGAAGGAGGCAGCTCTTTCAGCCTGCCACTTCCACAGTAAGTCGTCAAGAATCAGGTCAGATGAATTGTTCCTGAAAAGTGCCTGCTTCTTTCCAGTGATTGCACAGAGAGGCTGTGGTAATTAGCCCCGACACAGAGCAATCTACGTGGAAAACATCTCGGGTTTGGTGTGCTGTGTCCCACCTCAGACGTGTGTCCCACCTGGCTGAGAGCAGGGCCACAATGGGTGCACACCCAGCTACGTTCCTAAAGAAAGCATCGACACACATGAGCTTTGCCCCCCGTGTTTCAGTGCTGGCCTCCTATTTAGGGCCACTTTGTTCCGTAGTAACTGTGGTAACCTGGCAGAGGGTCTGGCCTCAATATTGAGCCCTGAGATATTGAGCCCTGAGCCCCTGCAGCTCTCCTGCGGACTTCAGCCTAGCCGGTGCATGTGAACAAGTGCCAGACCTTGCTGGACACAGGCATTCCTCTGGGGGGACACCACGGGGCCATAGAGACAAACCCTGCCCCACGGCAGTATTTGAGCACTGAGGATTTATTTCACATTCTTTTTTTCAGTGCCTTTCTGTAAGAAAAGCCTTTCGACGTGGGGGATGCTCTGATTCAGCGTGACGACTTCTGCAGCGTGCTGTCACCGTTCGGCTGGTGGAGCTGCCCTGAGAACGGGCTGTGCTCGTTCCTGGGAGAAGATCCACCGCTGAAGTGAATGTTATTTGCTGAGCTTGTTCATATAAATTAACAGCAGGACAAACACCCAGGAGATAAAGAGATCAGGCTCATGCTGGTGGTTCCCTAGCTAAGGATCGCTAATCCCACCAGGCCATTGTTTGAGGAGGAGAATTCACTGCAAAGCTGGGCCAGCTTTGCTTTCCGTGAACAAACAGCCTGTCTGTGCTCTGGTCCTCCCTCACTTCAGGGATTTACACAAAGGGAGTGACTTTGCCTTTTTTTTTTTCCTGCCTATGTGAACGAGAGCTGAATGCTCCCTTCCCTGCTGAAAGCAGAAAGGCATTTACCCGACCCCCTGCCAGCTCTGTTTTCCTCTGACCTCCTCACTGCCTTGCTCTCCACACTTTCCTTAGGTTCCTGCCTTTTGCTGTGCAGCTCGTGTTGTCAGATACAATTTCACTGTCCTCTTCTGGTCTCAAAACAGCCAAGCAATCCTTCCTTCCTTCCCCTCTGTCCTTCGCTTCTCCTGGACTTCAGCCGTGACTCTCATCCGCCTTGGTTTATCTGCTCTGTAAACCCTCGGAGGCAGGCAGTGAGTTTCCCCCACCACCTGAGTGACCAGGGCTTTAGGAAGCCACCCAAGAAGTGACTTCAAAGACGAGAACTAACATTGCCAGATGTCCCACCTCCCCTCAGAGACACGGGACGCTCCCTCTCACTGTCATGCATGGCTTTAGCACTGTTTAAGTGGCTGTTGGCAAAGAGTCTCATAAAATAATATTGCACAAGAACTGCCACGGGGCTGTTCACAGCTGCCCAAGCAATTCTGATCTCTTCCGAGATACCTGTGTTGTTCTCAGTGGAAAGCTCCAGAGGTGACAACCTAAAGACAGAGGCTGCAGTTAGTTCTGCATGTGTCCAGGTGCAGTAAGCATTCCCTCTGAACTAATGCTAAGGACATCCCTATAAATTCCTACTTCTTTGATTTTTGGTCTCTGATTACAGAAGAGAGTAACGACGTGGGACGTCACTGCTCAACAACGTCAAACCCCGAGGAAATGTAGGGCAAAAGACAAAGCTTCAAGGGTGCTGCAGAGATTTAAATAAGGGAGGAGTATTTCACGCTGCAAAGCTTGTGAAACTTCCTATCTGCAGTGTCCTTCTTCCAAGAAACCTTTGCTTAAAAAGTCATGCCTCCCTACATGTAAACGCACATTTAGAGCATATGGGTGGCTCTGGAAGTCCCTGTGCACCTCTAGGCTACCAAAATACAGCCGTGCCTATGGGCAGGTCTCTTCACAACCCTTCCTTCAGCCCTTGTGTTAGTTCCCAAGCCCGAACTCACACCGCTGGGTAACAGACGCGTGGGGTCTCACCAACTTCTGCCAGCTGCCTGGAGACAGTTTCTCCTCCAGTTGATTGCAGCTCAGCTCAGATTTGGGGATGGACATGGGAACTTGCTACACGCTGGGAAGCTTTTTCAGTGTCTTTCTAGCATCTGACATCCACATGGCAACTAAAATCACAGTCAGTTAATGCCCATTCCTAACTCATGAGGCATCTGGCCTTCCAGCCCATTCCAAAACGTGTGACAATCCAGTCATTACTATCAAAAATAAGAGTTTAAGTCCAAACTTGGTGTGTTTTTTCACACTCTTTTCAGCCACTGAATGCTGACTTTTCCCTTATGGGTTTCCCCTATGGATTACGATTCCGGAACAGGAGAGTTCACTCAGTTACTAACTGTTGAATGGATCCATACTTCTAAAATGTCTCTTGGCTAAGATCCTGCTAGAATGACTTGTCTCCACTCTGCTGCCAACTCTCATAAAACAATACAGATGGCAATATTTATGCTCGCTGAGTGGTCTTTGAAATGAATATGAGTGGCTTTCACTGGCTCCACTCCTGAAATCTGCACTTAGCTCTTGCTCAGTCAGAGATTTCCTTGCTTTCCACGGGATCCCTGCCCCTCCACTGGACTCCTCAATTTGGCCCCTAGGTAAGGTGCTTGATAAATGGGTGCCTGTGGTGTTTGTTTATTTGTTTAGTTTTGTTTATTTGTTTGAATTGGCCCAACACTCTCATATTTCTGCAGAAAAGCACCAACAGCTTTATGTGGTTCTAAGCACAGGTGGGTCTGGATCGCATACACTGGAAATATTCAGCTCTGGATCTATCTTTATGGTTTGAAGTACCCAAAACATAATAGAGCAACCTCTCCTTGTGGCAGAGAGCAGACCAGTTCTGGAGTCATGGGGCTGTGTGCAGCCTTGATCTGTCCTGAGATAAATCCACCACTAAAGATGGGGACGTAACCGAACAAAGAGGCTCTTTGGAGAATCCTCCCTTGTAATTGAAGTTAAATGAATGACAATCACCGCGCGGGGAAAAAAAGCTGCACTCAGGGGAAGAAACTCCAAAGTAAGTCTTCATTTTTTATGGGTACTATGAAATGAATGAGGGTGATGTCAGATGTAATATAACACTGGAGCGGAAAGGCTAACAGAAGACGACACAGTAACACCTGCACTGCCTAGCTCTAGACATGAACTGTGCATTAAAAGTAAGTCAACCCCCCCCCCGACTTAATTTCCTACATATGCCAGCCCAACCCCCAGCCTCTCTCGGGTTTTTTTAGGGCTGCAAGAGCAAATTTGTCTTCTCAGAAAGTATCTCCCTTGGAGGCAAAGATGCTGTGTGCACAAGAGCACCAACTGCTTTCTAGCATCTCCTAACAGCTGCTGCAAAATTCATAGGTGAAGAGAAATTCTCCCAAACTGGTAAATTCTTCATTAAAATCTTTCTAGTCTGGTTGAATCCAGTCTATGAATATGTTGTATGCACACGCGGAAGCCAACCGGTTGCCAGAAATTGCCACCATTTGGTATTTTCAGATAACCCATTGCACCATGGTGTGGTTGAGCCAGAAGGTAAGTACAGGTCATACTGGGATTAATTTAGCCCCTGACATAATAACGCACAGTCCGGGCACAATCCAGGGGAAATGGATGGATGGCAAGCGAGGAAAAGAGTGCTCTCCAGGCAGGTGGCTCCTAGGGAACAGCTGTAATTCGTGGGAAGGGTTTGCTGTCACGCACTTACCTGACACAAAAGTACAAAACAACCGGTCCCGACTTCTTGGGGAAGTCATGCTCCAGCACCCTGCGGTCCAGCTGCAGCCAGTTCAAGTGTCCCCTGGAGAGAGAAGAGAGAGAGAGAGCTGTGAGCCCAGTGCCTGCATCGAGGTCGGAGGTGCTCCAAAAGATGAAGCCAAGTGCATGCTGTTTGCCCTCGGCCCCTGCGTGCTGTTTGAAACACGCACAGCAAATGTTTGAGGAGCGGGGGCGATATCAGCCCGGCAACATTTCAGCCTGGGAATCGAGCAGCGAAAGTTCAATCCGTCAAGGGGGGCAAGCCGGCAGCCCCAAACGTTATGAGCTTCACCTTTTTTATTGCAACCCCCTGGAACAATTGTGTGGTTGAAAGTCTGTCAAGATTTTCATTAGAAATCCTGGTTGTTAAGAGTTTCCACAAGGCCTGCAATATTTCACTCGAGGCTCAGCCTGGCTGTTTACAGCCTCGGACAGTTTATTTACCACCCACATGCTTGCAGTAGCCTCGCTAGGCTTGCCCAGCCTTTGCTTTTCCTCCTTCAGAGAGCTCCTGAGAAACAGCTGCTCCCTGAAACGCTGCAGCCCCAATTCCCACACGCTGCTCTTCTCGAGCCTCGATGGTACCTGCCGCTGTTATTTTCCCCTGCAATTTACCCGTCGGTGCCTTGCAGCTGGAAGCTTTCCTGGGCAGCAGCTCTGTTCTTTGTCACGTTCCATGAGCGGCGTTTTATAAACACCACGATTTGTATTACGGGGGCACATCCCACTCCCCAGCTGAGAAAAAGGCCCCGTTAAATTAGGGGCTGTGGGAATCCGGAGGGTGAAATCCAGGCTCCCCCTGAAGTCAGCAGGAATTTTGCCGCTGCCTTCAGTGATGCAAGGGCTGCATCCTGTGAGCATTTTGCGATTGATTTCAGGCAGAGCAGATTTCACCCAGAGGGAGAGGCAGCCCGTGCCTTCAGCACTCTGCTGTCTAGACAAGCAAGGGGAGAGACAATTGAAGTGATTTTTTTTTTCTTATTTTATTTTATTTTTGGGGTGGGGGAGAATCGTGCAGCAAATAAAGCAGGAAATGGATTTCAGATGTCCCGAGCTCCCTTCCAGTGTCTATTCACCAGCTCACGCTAATCCTCAAGATTAATTCTTCACGCCACCAAAAAGGAAGAAGAAGAAAAAAAGCTTGCTTTGAAAAAAAAGAAGTGTTAATTTAAGTTCTAGGGTTGCCACAAGCCTCAACAATGTACTCTGTCAGCAAACACACTCGGCTTTCACAAGTGCCTGCCCATTACTCCTTAGCAGCGCATGTACTTTGGGCAACCGAGAAACTCCCTTGGCAATTAAGCAACAACAGCTCTTTAGCAATTTAACCAGATTTGTAGCTCCCTCTCCGTTCTAGAAAAATAAATAAAGGGGAAAGAAGCGATTTCAGGACGCTTTGAATCGCCTGGGTTCGGTCTGAGTTTCCAGACAGCTGCCCTGGCTTGCAGCGATGCAGATGAGGGTGGGCAGATTTCTTGCCCCATGCTTTATATACTCATCAAGTATGTAGTTTCATAAAGTTTATCTCTGGGATATTTTAACGTTTAGAAGGCTTTTTCTCTAGATAAATCTTATAAATAGTTTTAATATATATATATGTATTTTCTCTAGGTAAAAGGAAGCTCAAGCAGTGTAGGAGCGCACACAAACCTACTCACAGCCTGGCTATGGAAAAGCTGTGCCAAGGCCATGCTGCAGATTTGCAATCCCAGCTAATCGATGTCTCTGCTGACAGCAAATCTGCCCAGCCTGGGACAGTGCTGCACAAAGGTGCTGCCCAGGATCGGGGTGAGAATGGCCCTGGTAATGGGGCTGGGTGTATGGGCTGGCTGCATCCCTCTTCTTGAAACCCAGTCTTTTTCCTGCTTACCACTTTTTTTGTGGCCTGAACTCCCATTATGTTTCTTTTAAGGAGAATCAGAAAAGCTGAAATTAACCGTGAAGGCCATAGCACGCACGGGGCTTGAAACTAGACACACTCCCCCTTTCCTAGCCACATTTATCCGTGTAGGACAGAGTGTGAAACGCTGTCAGAGCACGGCAAAGTCACAGTAAGCCTGGCATCTTATCCTGAACCTGTCCATCTGCATTTGTGCCACCAAAGCAGCAGCCACCAGTGGCTGACGGTGTTACACACGGGCTCAGACCAAGACCGATTTGTTGACAAAGGACTTGTTGTCTGCATCTATGTTTGTCCAACAGGAATGTCTGGGTTTGCCAAACACATACAATGAGGTGTTGAGAAGCCACGGTGCACAAAACACTAAGCAATTTCAAGGTATTTTACATTTTGAAGACTTGCTCTTTTCATTCTCACTGCCTTTTGCCCCAAGAGACTGATTGATACCATCAAAAAAATAAATATCTGCATGTGTTTGTGCATACCAAGTTACACGGGCATGCTGCACACATTGTGGGTGTGGGTAATGCTTGTGCTAAGTGCCCACCGAGTTTTGGGTTGAAGAGTTTCATTGCTCTCATCTGCACGGAGCTTAAATCCAAAGCTCCTTCAGAGGAGGAAGGTCACTTCAATCGCTGCCAGGAGCTATCCTGCTCGCTGTACTCCGTTTCCACTTACAAGCTTTCATCGCTGAGGGCTCCTACGCTGCAGATTGTCACCTAACTCTTTGTTTTCTAGCATCCATGTGTGGCACGTACAGAACAGCAGCCCTGAGCAGTCCCTGGCATCCGCCCGTGAACGCGGTTTATCGGGGAGCCGAGCTCCAGTGCTGTTATACCACAAAATGCTTTGCTCTGGAAGCTGTCGTGCTGTCTTCAGCAGAACTATTCACGGAGCACAATCCCATGTAGGACAGAGAAGAGTAAGGGCATACAACCCTAGGCATGTAGTAATCCCGACAGTATTTGCAGACCAATTTAGGCAGCCTGCACTGGGATCCCATTCGTACATGCCTGTGTCTAGCTGGGTTTTCTTCACAGTTCAATGTAGAGACCCAAAGTAGCTTTTGTTTCATTATCTCCATTGATTTGCTCATTGAGGTATTTACATCAGTGTACTCGCGAATAATGATGCACACAGTTTTGGGTGACCTACGGGGCAGCTGGCTATTGGGAGCCAGCTCATTTTTCTCTGCTGGTTGTGCTCATCTTGGCAGTTAAACTGGTGTGTCAATAGCCAAAACATCATTGCCTTTAGAAACAGGAACTGGGTCCATTTATGTTACAGACCGAGTATGGATTTTGGTGCCCAGCTTTCGCATCGTCATTTGCAAGCAGCGGTTTCTGTTTTCTTTTATCAGGGCTTTCAGAAAAGAGTGGCACATCAATACTTTGCCTCCAGGTGGATCTGTTTACACAGCTTTCCTGGTTAATGTCCAGTTTTCTGGGAAGTGGGTCCACATTGATTTGTGTTATAAAGATACTTGGACCAATAAACCAACTCACGCCCCTTCAAGCGTCAGACTCACTGAGTTGAATGGACATTGAGACAGACCAAATCGAGTAACAGAAACCATAAATGCTATTTTACATTTTCATCAATCACTGCAGAAACAAACGAACAAAAAACCCCACCCACAAGCTCACAGATTTTCTCATTTAAGGTCTTCAGCCTTTAACAGAAATGTTTTTGAAAGGGTTGCAAAGCTCAGGGAGATATCTCAGTCCCTAGTTCTGGCTCTGCTTCATGACTGGAGGGTGCAAATAGGTTTTTCCCCCAGTTCCTGGAGATGAGGCTATTCCCAGGAAGCCTGGTGCCCTGCTCTCCCTCTTACAATCTTTCCCTTGCTGTCCCATGAGCCATAAGATCTTGGGATGAGCAAGGGCTCTGTCATTCCCTTATCATGTTAGCGCAGCCTCTAGCACAACTGTAACACAAACAGTTAAGGCCCCAGCCCCTTGCAATTTTTATCTTTTTTATTATGAAGCTAAAGGAGCTGCTCTGCAGGATCTGCAGTGATGAAGGACAGGCATCCGCAAAAGGACGCGGATCAGCTTTTGGCTGGGTGCACGGAGAGGGGGAGCAGTGGGATACAAAAGTTGGTAATTCCCCACGGAGCAGGTGACTCCTGTTTAAGGACAAGCAAAGGACACAGAAAACCCATTTGTGGCCCCAAACAGAAGGGGAATCCTGACCACTTTCTCTCCGTGAATGCTGCAAGGGCCGGTGCTAAGGGAGAGGGCGGCTAGTGGAGATTCATGCTCAGCTGAACCCATTCCCCATTCCTTTTCACTCTTAATCAACCACCGAATAGATCTGCTGGCTTCCCGTGAAGCTTGGCCCCACGTGCTACGCAAGGACACCCTTTTGACCTGCGCTCTCCCTCAGTTAATGGCTCACACCATAAAGCGTTCCTATGATCACTAAAAAAGGAGGCGTTATTTTTTCCTCCGTAATAGGCTGACAATCTAATTTTAGTCACACTGAGCGCGGTAACGACCCTATATTATCACAAGAAACTATTAAGTCGCCAACGCAAAGGTTGTTCCTATTGATTTTCTTCTCAGGTTGTCATGATAGAGCGCAACTAATGAATGGAAATCCCCAGTCCAAATCATTTCTAAATAAATTACTCTTATGGAGCTTTTACTCTTAAATAGAAGAATTGATTTAATACTTTAGTGGCTTTTCTTCTTCCTAAACTTGCAATTTAGCCAACCCCAGATTACATTTATGAACCCAGCCTGTCCTGTTTCAGCTGCTTATGGGCACCTTTCAGGGAAGGCACATGAAAGCTCAGCAGAATGGTATCAGCAGAGGGAAGGAAACCCCTGAGGGGCTGTGTCACAGAATTAGCAGCTTGCTCTTTGCGTTTCTGGCCTGTATCAGTTATAGGGCTGTGTTCGGTGCTCTGCAAACACATGATAAGAGACTGTTTTTTTCCCCTGGTTTTGAAGAAAATAATTCTTTTCACTTCCATTTCGCATTACAGGTTGGGATCTGAGGTGCAGGCAGACCGGTTTACTTCCTGAAGGTGACATGGGGCATCCATCTGCAAGACCCAGTCCAGCACCCCAGCTATCATTTTTTTTTAATGCTGCGTTCAGTCAAATAAAGTTGGCTGTTTGCGTCAACGCTGCTCAAAGCTTTTTACAATTGAGGAGGACATATTAGGCAAATATTATTTGTGTAAAGGTTGCTGCCACAGCAGTGAGGAAGCCTCAGTATAAGGTTCAAACTCACGGTGGGGCAGCAGATGGGCTGCAGGCCAAGCTTTGTATTAGCTGGCACATACCAACCTGCTGCTGGATTGGGCTGGCTGGATTTAATGAGGGTGTTCCCAAAGCTTTCATCTGGGCTAGCTGAGCATCTGCTAAAAGATGTTGTGCTTCATCTTGACCACAGGTTGGGAAGGTGACCAAGAGAGAGGATGCCTCAGGCTCTGCCATCCTGTCTGGTCAGTGCGCATCCATCTGCATCTGCTGCTCATCTTTGAGCTAGGCCTTGACAGCTGCTGTCAGCTTCTCCTGCTTCTTCCCATTGCTAACCCAGATCCTTGCTCACGCTGCTCTGTGTTAAACCTGGAGGCCCCTGGAGAGGCCGGACTCTGCCTTGTTGCCGACACCTCCTCGTTAGCTTGCCTTGCACTCTCAGGGGAGCCCTGTGCCCACTCCTCTCAGCTGAGAGCTGGGCCTTGCTCAGCTGCTCCGTGTTTCGCAGTCTGACACGTGTTTCTTGCTTTTCAAGAAAATTTTCATTTCTTAGTCTGCTTGGGCTTCCCTGTACCCCTCAGGCAGCGCCCACGGAGTAACTCACTGTCTCCAGTAAGAAATAACATACTGGTGAAGCCGTTTTCTACCCCTGCTTTATAAATTGTCAGCGGCTCCTGCTGCTCCTCCTTTGAGGGCCAGTCTCATTGATGTGTGTTGGGTTGGAGATCTCCTACAAGGCTGAGCCTTGGAGAGAAATGGGACAGATTCTGGGCTTTCTTGTGATTCAGGTCCTGCTTCTGCACCTGTCTGACACTGAGCATCCCTTCACCCTGTGAGTTTTGTCCTGAGATGGCCTCAGGCAGGTGCTTGCCAAAGGAACTGTCCCTAGAGGGACAATCGCAGCTCAGTGTGGGTATGTCTGTGCAATCATCCAGCAGCTTTCTCATTACCCGATCCCAAATCATTATTCCGGCAGATAATTTCCGTTTCTCTGCCACTTCTGCAGGGGAGCGGAGCTGGCTCATGAGAGCTGTGCTGCTGACTCAGCTGTCCCCAAAACCCATCACTGGCTTGGCACTCTTGTCTTTTAAGATGATATAAGTGTGTGGGGCTTCCTTCTGATTCATCTTATAGAAAAACCTACTGAAAACTAGGGTGGGATTGGGTGGATGGAGTTACAGGACAGAAATGTGGTGCTGAGGAAAGTCTACAGAGAGAAAACAGGCAGCTGGAAAAAGAAACAGGGGCTGTGCAGGGACCGGGAGGTCACAGTCTAGAACTAATCAAAGCATTTGCCAAACATTTAATGTTTACCCAGTGCTAATTTTATACATGCCTTTTAAAACAGGGGTATAAATGTCCTATCGTGAGAGAAAAACTCGAGTTTTGTGGTGAACACAACACCCTGGGAGCTGGGGTTGAAGGTGAGCAGCCAGCATTGCCTGAGGTGCCTGCAGTGGCAGAGGCCTGCTCTTTGGTTCAGCTCAGCCGTAAGGCTCTTGTGTGATTCCTGGCAAGGTCAAATCCTCTTTTTTATTTTTATTTTTTTAATGGAAATTTTATATTTATAAATATTTTTCCTTCATGTTAAATTTGGCAATCCTTTCCTTTCTCATGCTTTCATCTTCCCATTTTTTAAGACATTCTAATCTAGGATCTAAAACAACAGATATTTATTTTATTTTATTTTATTTTATTTTATTTTATTTTATTTTATTTTATTTTATTTTATTTTATTTTATTTTATTTTATTTTATTTTATTTTATTTTATTTTATTTTATTTTAACTTGAAATAAATTAGCATTACCTTTAAACCTGCTTGGGTGATTAACACTTTAATTGAAAGGTTTTGCCAGCCTGCCAACATCTTGGAACTAGCGAGTGGATCTTAAATTCAAGAGAGCTTAAGCTAACATTTTCCCAGTGACACAAACACTTTGAATATGGGAGGAGGAAGGGATTTTTTCCGTCCCTGTACACTTCCAGCAATGCTGAACTCGTTGTGAGAAGCCTCGAGCCTTCTGAAGGAGAGGCTGTACAGGTCAGACTCAGATGTGGGACACATCTGGGGGACACATTGGTGGGACACACTCTGTAGACATTGATCTAGGACCTTGGGGTACACAGGTCTTCTACACTGGTCATTTTGGACAACACTCCCCTGGATTTCCTATGATCTAAGAGATGCCTCTTAGGTCTTTGATTCCTTGCACTTACGTTTCATCTGTGAATGCAATTCCAAAGTATTCTTTCTCCTTCAGGTTGAAATGAGATGCCACCAAGTCAAGCAGCTCCTTGGCCAAAAGCTTTGGCTGGAAAACAAGAATGAAAGAAAGTGATTAACAAAGAGAAATTTGGGGTAATGATACTGTGCTTCTGGACGGATGTGCCGTCCTTGAAGGTGCTCCACCGCTGTTGGTTTTATGTTCCCTCTGGTGTTCAAGCTAAATGTTCAAGCAACATTAACTCCTTGAAACAAGCACTAGTTTCTCTCTGAGGTAAATAATATAAAACAGGTGGTTCTGACCTCATCAGTGCTTAAGGTCTCTGCAGGCAGAAAACCTGCTGCCTGCCTGTGTCCATATTTGCCATGACCCGCTCACTTATGCCTCTCTGATAACTTTAGTTGTTAAAGCTTTTTATCAAGGACCTTTGCAAGCACATTTCAAACACCCACTCTCACATGCACTGCACAGATACGTTCTCATAAGACTAATAAAATACACAGTGCCGAAAGATAGGATGTGACAGGACCAAATGAGGAGTAAACGACAGAACAAAATAGCTTCCCATTCAGCATTGCTTGTCATTTACAGAGAAGGATGCATCCTAAAACGTAGGAGGTGGGAAGAAAGGAAAGTAACACACATTTTCAGAATACCCTTGGTAAGAGCATAAAAGCCAAGCTCAAAGAAACTGCTCACCTCATATATAAAAAGGTGTGTTACTATCATGAGGCAATTCTGCCTTTCCTGCAAAACCTTCTTTGAATTTTACCTACGGATCTCCACCCGCTCTGCTGAGCTCCTGTTTTTTTGTCTGGGCTAGTGAAGTCTTGGCCACACCAGAGCTCTTGCACTAGCTCTCACTGGTAGCAAACAGGGGTAAAAAGGATCCAGGTGGGTGCTCCTGTGATCCCACAGACCTGTACTAGCCCCAGACCCCAGAGCTGTAATGGTAATAGCAGCACTGGCACAGCTGGGCACTGAGATCCCTGCTGACTTCTCATAGGGATTTGGTCTACAAATCTCTGTGCTGCAGCCTCGGTGGAAATAAATCCATCCTCAGGCTTGGCTGCCCCAACAAGTCAGCCAAGCAGTTGAGTCAGAGTTACCCCAGACATGAACCTGTTGTTAAAGGCAGATGAGACAATGATGCTGTGCAGAAAAGGAGTGGTGAGGACCTGAGAACCCTGCTGTCCTAATTAATCACCCTGTCCTGTAAATACAAACCCAGTTTGAGTTGAAAAAAACACCTGATCTGTACTTCCAAACAGATTCATAGGACTCTCAACCTCTCTCCAAAAATGTCCCTAAACCCTATTGCTGTTCCAGTACCTGACACAGCAATAGCCTTTCCTAAATGCAGCACTAGCTTAAAGCAGCCCTGCAATACATCTGAGTTGCTGTAAAGGAAGAACAGCCTGGTGGATAATTAATGAGGTGGTATGCAACAAGCTTCATTGGCATTCCCAAGTCAGACTTCTCTGGCAGGACTCCTGGAGTCTTTGCTATGAGCACACAACCTGCTGCATTACCTTTCACATACCCTTGAGCTAGCTCCCAAATGGTGCTCAGAGCTGAGCAGACCAGATGTGGGGCTGTGGTCGTTTCCCTTGTCCCCTTAGGTCCCTTCAGTGACCCCAAAAAAGGAGCACACCAGCTATGCTGGTCTCTCTGTAGGCTCCAAGCAGGGCAGCGAGCTACCCGCCAGCCTTGCTGGGTGTCCTGAGAGGGCAAGGGTGGTGGAAAAGCATGCTTCAAATACAGCAGCATTGCCCAAGCCTGGAATAAGCTCTTGGTGGGGATAGGTTGAGCTTTCAAATTTTGCAAGAGAGCAGAAAAGAGCATTTTTCCCCAGGCATCCTCCCTGGGCATTGAGTGAGGAGCAGCCTTCAGTCACCTCCCCAGGCAAGATGGGCAAATGCAACAAGCTGCCTCTGTCTCTCTGCTGAGTGAGATTTGGCTCCTGGAAAAGCCCTGGAAAGATGGTTGGCATGGCACGAGTGCCCTTGCTGTGGGGATGTGCCCAAAGCCTATGGTGCCAGATAAGTGAGGATAACCCTTTGCCTGGCAAGACAAGGGAGAGAAACAATAGCTACTGTACAATACCTCCATCTACACAGCCCTGGAGCACTGCCAGGTTAGTTATGGGGCCAGCATCCCCAAAGAGGCTTACAGCGGTGAAGTTAAGCCCTGCTAGCCCCCTCCAAGATTACTTTCCACTCCGCTCTTAAGCTCTGCAATGTTACTGTCCTTCCCTGTAGGATGAGTCCCGTGTCCTAACAGAGATAGGCAATCCGAGTCTTTGGAGTGGGAGTAGGAGGAAGGTGCCTTCTCCAGGTAGCAAAGACTCCTCAAGACAAGCCTGCAGAGTGGGGATAAGGGCAGAAAAACCCTACAGGCACCGAGCGAGCTGCAGCCCGTCCCGCTGTCTCAGGAGAGAGCCGCACACTCCAAGTTAGCGGTTAATCTGCTTGCTGCTGGGATCGGCTGAGCAATGACCTCCTTTCATGTCAGCTGCACAGACAAAGAGCTCATTAGCGATGCCTGTGGCAAGTTGTTTTAATTCATTATTAATTTCTGGACTTCATTTTCCAGAGGGATATTCATTTTGCATTAATAAAACTCCCGTCGCAGACACGTTGAGGAAGATGGGGGCTGGTCTCCGAGAGCAGGGAAAGCAGTAGGAAGTGGGTGCAGGACCTGCTGCAGCTAATATATCAGGGAACTGCAGGCCAGCTGGTGAATCCCACATGTATAAATCAGGAATAACGGGTGGCATTCAGCCACTGAATTGTGTCCTCCCTGCTGCAGAGCCGGACCATGGTAAAGGGAACTGCCAGGGCACTGCTGCTCCTCATCTCCTTCCTATCCATGCCTGCCTGGTGTCCTCCATCTAAACTTTAAATCTTTTAAACTCTAAATCTTTTCAGGAAAAGCAAAATGGGGCACGTGTCGTTGGCTGGTGTGAGCTTGGGACAGGGTACACCATCAGAAACCCTACAGCTGGGGCAGCAAGGGCTGAGTGTGCTTTGATGAAAGGGGTAAGTTGTCAGAGAAATCCTGTTTAGCCAGGGATTCCCCTGCTGGTCCCTCCTCCTGAAGGCCTCTTTCTGCAAAAACACACATAAAAAATGATGTGGGACGAATGTTTTTATAGAAAAATCCATGGGGTTTGTGGTCCCAGGAGGCTGGGGGAAGAAGAGCCCCCAGAGGAGGAAGGCCTGAGGGCCTTTGCTCCTGTGCACGGACTGCTTCTGAGGACAGCTCATCTGGTCCCAAAGCAGGCCCAAATTCCATAAAGACTTGGTGGTGGTCTCAGCTGAAGATCAACCCCTCAAACACCTAACCTGAGCCAGGCCAAAACCTAACCCAGGCCAAATCCTGCCCTGAGAGGGCAGTACCACCATCAGAGGAGGCCTGGGGGGCCACAGGCCTGGTGGCTCAAGCCCCACCATGGGTACAGCAAAACCCAAAAATTTCAAGGATTGCTCCACACCTCCAGCAGGTCGTTCTGCCAGCCGTTGGGGAAAACGCAGCAGAAACGCCAACATTAAAGATTCAGTATGATTAAAAAGCTGTGTGACTGGGATTCGAACTGCCCGAGGAGCTCCGAAGCCTCGTGTTTCCTCAGAGGAGAGACGGGCTGCCCACTTCTGGCCGAGGAGCATGTTTCTCCCTGACAGCTTCCCATTACGTTTCGAAATGAGTGAGTTATGGAGCGAGATTATCTACCCACAGCCCGGCAGGGCCATGAATAAAAACCAGATGACATGGTATTAGCAGCTGCTGGTACGTCCCTGGAAATGTGGGCACACACAAAGTATGTTTTATTGTTTTATTAACGGCCAAAGGAGCCTGTCTGCTCGCCCTCCCCCGTTTCATCACTTTTCCCTAATTCTCCGTGGCAGGAGGGTTCTGGGAAAGGCACGGCTTCAACATGTGGGCAGACGCACGCCGCCTGCATCCAGCCAGCTCAGAGACACGCTGAACTGTGGGAAGCAGGTAACGAGATCATGCTTAGTAATGCCTCATTTCATTAGATTAAAAAATCCGCTGCCCTCCCCTGTCTCCTTCCTGGGGGGACTTGCAGCGAGACACGTAACGGGACCGAGACGCTGCCGCGCCAAGTGCTGCAATGTTAAAGGCTGTCTGCTGTACCAAAAAAAACACATGCTCAGCCTTTATTCCAGTGTTGGGATAAACATCTCAGCTCCTCGTGGCATTAACAGTGGCATTCTCAAAATCCAGGGAGCTGAAGGCACGCATATGCCAAAGAGCTGGTCTAAAATCCCAGGCTTGGTTTCAGGCAGCCTTGAGACAGCTGCCTGTGCAAACCTGGCATTTTTTGTCATCTTCGCTTCAGCTGGAGGGGAAATTTTGTGCTAATAACACTGCTGTGGGCAGGCACAGACTCCAGGGCTGTCTTAACCCGTGGTATTAAGCAGTGAGCATGCACTGGTGTGGGCTGGCCCATCAGAACACTCCAACCCCTCCAGACCCAGAAAAGTCCTCAGGTTTTGGGAAGAGATGGAGCTGACCCCCAAGAACATGATCCTAGCTGTGCCACAGGGCTCTGAGCCCCACCAGTAAGCCCCAACTTATATTATTTATGAGAACAGATAGAGCAGATGCTGTCTGGCAACAGGTTGCTTTCTGCAGGACACGCTGTGAAGTGTGTCTGGTCCAAAACATCCTCTTGAGTTGTGTTGACTCGGTTTGATTTCGCTACCGTCCAAAGGTTGGGCACTTGAAAAACATCTCTTTGGTGGCTCGAGTTGAAATGTAGGCTGGAGGGTGTGGTGCAGCCCGTCCATCAGCTGGATGGGTGAGGTGAAAAAAGGAGCAATTTGCATGGACACGGAGTAATTCCTGCCTGGGCCATGCCCCGAGCAGCACTGGGGCTCACGTGCCTCAGGGTGCCACACTCCATCGGCAGCCAGCAGCAGCTCTCGTCTGTCTCGAGCCTTGGGCAGTGCAGTCAGAAGGAAACAGAAGTGCAAAGTGGTGACTCAACGCACGGTTCTTCCCCTCTGCCACCCCTTATAATTTGCTAATGAAGCAAGGTCCAGGTGCCCCCACTGAATTAG